GAAGTCCTGAATGTGATCAAGCTTCTGAACGTTAACCGGAAAGGCAGCAGTGCCAGACGACATTTCCTGCCCACCAGAATTATTGAAAACAGACTCAGAGATTGAGGCTGAATACCTCGTCAAGCTGGCAGAGAAGGGCAGCCTAGACCTGTGCAAAACGTCGCGTGGAAAAATGCTCTTTTCGGCGCCAAGCAAAACACTAAGTCGCATCATCCTGGAGAGAATAAAGGGTGCACTGGGTAAAGAAATCAACCCCCACTAAGGAACAAGCTGGATTCAGGAAAGGCAAATCATGTGCCTATCAAATCGATACTCTGCGCATCGTCGTTGCAGAACAAAACATAGAATAGCAGTCAAACCTCACTCTACCTGTGCGTCGGTGGCACAGTGGTTAGGACTCTCGCCGACCATGCACATGGTCAGGGGTTCGAGCCCACGCCGACGCACACCTGATATCTATGGTCGGCCTGCGAAATCTGGGCTACCGATATCCACGCTGAAAATTCCACACTTACACCAAAATACAGTGTGGAATCAAGCTGTAATCAAAAAAAATAAAAATAAAAAAAATACCTCAATTTCACCGACTTCGGAAGGGCCTTCGACAGACAGCACTGACCGAGAAAATAACTCAGGAACTGCTTCAACACTATGGCGTGCAGTACCCAAGTCTTTATGAACCTCACACAACCGCTGGCTATTTAACTATGGCACGTGTCAGATGATCCACAACAGAAGATTCAGCGAGGCATTCGAAGTGAACACAGGAAAAAGCAAAGCAAGGCTGCCCATTTTATATATCACCGTTGGTGATATTCCTATTTGAAGTGGAATGAATTGTGCCTCAGGTTGTGCATGGGACTGAGAATACGGGAATGCTCTACACTGACGGATAAGAAGAATTAAAAATATCTGGATTTCAAACGTGGATGACTTATGCTAAATTTCACACAAACTCGTAGGGCTACAGGCAAAAACCAACAAACTGGCTGATGAAGCAACCACAGAAGGCAGGAGTCCAGGTGAAGGGAACACAAAGAAGACGGAGGTGACGAAGATAAACAATGAAGAGAGGCAACAACAGCAACCAGCACCAATCACCATCAACGGGAGAAATTTGATAGAAGTGCTATATCCTTCACTTATCTAGGATACTCAGTTTCAACCACAGGCAGTCGGAAAGGATGTAGATGTCAAAACCAGCCAGCCAGCAAGAATCGGAGAGACGAGACGCAGCTGCATCAACTTGAAACCAGTTTGGAAATCTTTTGCACTCAACATAAACAACAAGATTCGGGTTTTCAACACAAATTTTAAGTCAGTCACTGCTTTATATGAGTCCGAAACTGGCACTATGTAACGGAAAGGAGTTCCAACAAATTACCAACAGAGAAAAAATCCCCATTTAGACATTTAGAAAACAGAAAGATTGAGCGAAGAAATAAAGGCTCTGGAGTAGTCATAATGCATAAAACTGAATGCATAGATAAGATGATAGGAATACTCAGTGATCATCGAAAATTTCAAAAAAATAACATCTTCCGTTGATCCAACAGAAAAAGTTGAGAAACAACTAATTGAGTCCCTAAAAAGACTTAAACAACAAAGTAGCATCATAGACGGTTTATATGAATCTTTAAAGCCTACTGTCACGGTTACGCCAAGATTATATGGACTACCACAAGTGCATAAAATCGGTTTGCCACTTCGACCAGTGTTGGACATGTGTAATTCTCCATATCACGCAACAGCAAAGTGGTTAGTGAAGCTCCTAAAGCCTCTGCATAATGAAGTGGTGAAACATAGCGTAAACGGCAGTTTTGAATTTGTGGAAAAAATAAGAGATCTTAATGTGAGGGACAAGTTTATAATATCTTTTGATGTATCCCCCTTGTTTACCAATGTACCGTTATTAGAAACAGTGGATTTTATATGTGAAGAGATTACTACACGAAACATAGATACCGGGATTTCCGTAACCACCTTCAAGGAACTTATTCTAAGATGTACAATGAATGTTCATTTCTTACTCAATAAGGAATATTACAGACAGATTGATGGTGTGGCTATGGGTTCCCCATTAGGTCCAATCCTAGCTGATTTTTCCTCGCTAAATTAGAGAATGGACCACTGAAAGGAGTAATTAATGACATGGATTTCTACTGTCGATATATGGATGATACATTTGTAGTTATGAAAGATGAGAATGATGCAATGAACATCCTTCACAAGTTTAATGATTCCCATTCAGCAATAAACTTTACCATAGGGAAACAAAGTAATGACAGTATCTCGTTCATAGACGTCTTCATGGTAAGGAGAGAGAATGGCACACTAAGAAGTGTGTATAGGAAGCCTACAACAACAGGTCAGTACACTCATTTTTTGAGTTTTGTACCTTTGAAATATAAACGTAACCTCGTGGTGTCTAGCTCATAGAGCTAGGTTAATCTGTTCAGACGACTGCCTCAATGAGGAGCTTAAGATTATTAGAGAATTACTTAGAAAAAATGGCTATCCAGATAAATTGATTGAGAAAAATATAAATTCAGCTCCAAGGAGAGTCAGTATGGCCACAGTCCCGAAAAAACCAATGTTCATAAAATTGCAGTTCCTCGGTGATAACATCAGCGAATTAATAACACAGGGCCTGAAGAATGCATTTAAAAGAACTTATTATGTAGCAGAGGTACGTTGTCTCTTTACAACCACACCTATTTTGTGTTCGAGAAATAAGGATAAACTCCCGAAATTCGCCACCTCTATGTGTATCTACCAGTTTGACTGCAGCTGCGGAGCCAGCTACATTGGGCGTACAATTAGGCAAGTTCATCGTCGTATTTCCGAACATCATCCAACGTGGTTGAGTAAGGGACAAAAAAGATCTATTCGTAGCTCTGTTTCGGCCCACCTCGTTGATACTGAGCATAAGATTGATGTTATACAGCATTTAAAATTATTTATCGCATTCCAACTTATCTTAATTTCGCTCTGCGAGTTCGTCTTGTACAGACGGCTGAGGCGATCGGCATTCATCTGAAGAAGCCAAGCCTATGTGTACAGAAAAGAATTTGTACAGCCACTTTCCCTACCGTGGCCATCGTCACAAGAATGAATAAACAGTACTGCGTCATCCCCCTCCCCCTAAACCTATAAGATTATATTTGTCTAAATTATTTATTTTATTTTATTTATTTTGACCACTTCATCTTTAATTACGTGTTATTCTTGTAAAATTAATTTATTCTATCCATTTCCACCTTTTAAATCTGTATTGATTTTCTCCGTTAACTATTAACCCATTGACACTGTTTAATTATTGTTAACAAACTTATCACCACTTGATTTGCAAACTGTTGTATTGTAATTAAAATGCTATATATATTAGAGTAGAGCCAGAGATGAGGATCTAATTGAAAAGTAAATATTTCTTCGCTCAGTCTTTCTGTTTTCTAAATTACCAACAGCTGCTAGCTGCACCGGCCTCATACTAAAGCTCAGATGGCCAGCCACCCGGCCAGATAGAATTGGCAACAAGAAAATCTGTGACGAACCAACCGGGAGCTGATCGCTCAACCAATATGTTGGAAAAAATGGAGTTGGACCGGGCATATATTGACGAGACCGTCGAATGACGTCGCGCGCAACGCAGGCTGTCGATCGAGTGGAATTCGAATGGGAAGTGACGAGTGGGTCGTCGGGCTGAGGGGTGACATGAAGGAGATCGTGTAGGGAGGAGGAGATGAGAGATGATGGTCAATCGTGAACCCAGCTGAAGATGGTGGCAGAAAATGGAAGAAAGTGGAGACATGTCGAGGAAGCCCCATGTTCTACTTGGAACTCAAGGGAATAATAATATAAAATAATAATTATAATCATAATAATAATCTCTTTGTTTGGGTAATATTTCGAGCATAATTACAGCCCTTTGCCACATAAAATGTTGGATCAAATGTCGATCATTTTTGCCTCAAAACCATTTACACCAGTATAATAGCACCTTAGTATCTCCACTCACTGTCAAACCTAAACATACACAATAAAAATGATGGAATTACATTAACGAATTAGAAAGACTGTGTGGCTACCTTGATATGATTATTAGTAGTAAACAGTGATCGAAACGCCTTCAGTATATAATACTACCTACCAGTAAGTGATTTTATCAAATAAATTTACTCATTATCATACCGAACGAGAAGTTGATTTATATCGGTATATCACGTATTAAGGAATAATATAGGGCTGACATTTCTAAACTTCTCTCTACCTGAAGGATGCCTTACCGAAAACATCACAATAAAAATAAAAGCGAAAGCTAGACAATCATGCAGAAATGCAAGGTTTGTGTCTCATTGGCTTATCCTCATAAAACTTAAAACCACACTGTCAATGGATAAGCATACAAACTAAATCCCCACGACCTGTTCTGCCTTCTCTCACTGTATCGACTACTCTATCTTTTCCTTAGGTCACCTTTATTATTTCACTTATCTCAACCCATATTATCTACACTGCAACCTATTATTATTACTATTCTGCTTTTATGACTATACTGAATGACCAACGGGAGTTAGGTCAAACTCCATTCACGGCAGCAACACAGTCCTAACATACTGCATGCTACAAACCACATCTTGACCAATCCCCGCACCACTCCTCTTGGAGTCTACCAGAGCTAGAGCAGTCGAGTGGCGGGACTTACTTCGCAGAAGCTCACCGAAGATCTGGAACCTCTACCTCACAATCAAGAAGCGAGCTCCAAGAAATCACTGGTTTATACTAGCTCGTAATCAGGATATTGGAGAACTCTCGACTCTTACAGTGGATTTTCCACGACTGGAACTCTTCACCTGACAAAGTACTATTAGCTCCACCTTCAAAGAGAAATTATATATCTTCATAGACACCTAGTGCAAGGATTAACGCAAGCCAAAATGGCTCACCACCTCTTTTATTTGGGACTGAACATCGAGCAGATAACCGAAATTAAAACAAAAAGCGGGTACACGAAGTCGCAAGCTGATATCGGTGCTGGAATCTGAAATGGAGCCAGAAGTGGGGGAAAACCTAGATATCCAGAATTATTTGTCACTGTGCATCTCGAATGGTGATATTGCGGTTGTTCTCTGGAACGCATCGACGCATATACTGCAGTACTGTCCTGATAACTCATTAGAAGTTGAGGATATGCGATTAAAACAGAGTATGACAATATTTTTCTAACCTTGCAGTCATCCTCCGTGCCAAACCAACAGCACTTCTTGCCACAAAGGCAACTTTTGATGCACTGAAGTCAGTGGTGTGTATTGAGAGTAAGAGTCTAGACTATAGTTAAACTATCTGAACTTTTTAAAATACTGACAGATACTCCAGAAGTGTATAAAGAAATCGTTCCTGAAAATTATTATAGTAATGCCTTCTTCACAAATCGTAACCGTCTTGAGCGGAAGAATTTCTAGAAGACTCTTGCCATTTGTTGAGGATTTCTTCTATGCCCCCCAATCTTGATGAGTTTGGGAAAACGATTTACGTGAAGTCATTGTTTCAAGTTGATTCAAGCCTAGTGGTTTGTCCACATTTAAAACCTAACTCATAAAAGTTGAGAGCTCTAGGTGGTTTAGTGTTCAAGATAGCTGTGTCTCAAAACACGCAAAATGATGATTTGAATAAGAGTCTGTTGCAGATAACTGATATACAGATTTTCAATAAGTAATTCATATTTTGTGTACTAACGGAATTATTTAGTCAAGACACGTTATTTGTTAATAGACTCACTTTACAACACTTGGAAATCTTCAAATGCTTTGAAATAATTGAGGAAACTGTCACGCCTAACACAATGAATTATCCAGTGTCTAGCCTATTCAGTAAGCAAATACTTTTACTTCATTTCCAGAAATAATAAATCATTGTGTGACCGCTCAAGGTAAGGCAGAATTACGAAAGTGGATGCACTTTCCTCTGCGGAACGAAAATTCAATTAAACGAAGATTGGATGCAGTGGAATTTCTTCTAGAGTACAAAGGTGGAGAAGTAATAGCTATAATTAGATCTTTTTTGAGAAAGATTGGAAATATGCAGGTATTTGTGACATTCTTTCTATTTGATTGACGTTGGATAGGTTTACTTATAAATTTGTTGACCATTTTGTTTGCCTTTCATTTAAGCGACTCTAAATCACGTAACTAATGTCTGACATTCCATCAAATAGCTACACGAAGTAGGTGCAAACTGCAATGCTACTGTATATTCCACTGAATGATTTCCTGGTAAAAGCACTGTTTACCGAATTAAGACATTATTTTCCACTATAGGGCCACCAATAGCTTGATTCATCAGTTCATGTTTAAAAAATACCTCACTATACAATGAAAGAATAGTGCGAGATCACACTGTATGAGAAGCACTGCGCTGATCTAACGACCTGTCAGTTTGTGCAGTCTAGAGAATGGCTGTTTGGAGATTAGTTACTGACAGGACCGCGAAATAATAATTGATAGCTAAGTGTAACTTCTGGAGAAGCTTTACAGCTGATGTTAGTTTGCGGTCACAACAACAAATACAGCCTGTCCAGAAGAAAGATTTATTCAGTTGTCGGTAGAGAGAAATCATTATTCCAGGAATATATGTAGGTAGATAAGTGCTGTGTAGTTCAGAGTTGCAATCATACATATGCTTCATGCTAACTTTTAATGCAAATCTGGAATATAAGAGGCTGTTTAGAGGCGAAAACCGTTTCAAAATCAATTCGATATGGAAGTTTAATGTACAAACGGATATACGGACGAAACACAAAGTCCAATGGGTATAGTTGAAGTGTTTCATTACTAATATGTCTTCAGAGTGAGTTAGTTACAAACTACCGAGGTTCTCTGAAAAGTTTCGAAACATACTTGTTACACCTAAGTCTTTTTTGATGCCCCCTATGTTGAGTTTCTTAACATATGAACATTTCTCTTTGAAATTCATACCAGTATGACTTTGCTCGACCTAAATGGATTGAGTTTACAGAGCAAATGGCTACTCGCTTTTTGTTACGAGCATGCAGACTATAGTGACACTCTTAATCTATTGTCAGTGAATGAAATAAGCAAATATTCGCCCATGAGTTTAGCTATCACTGTAGGTAGCTTTCAGGGAAGTAATAGCTTTATTTCATTTTCTGGATTCCGCTGGAAGAACACAAAACGTGCTGATTCGTTTCGTTTGCTATGCTACGTTGTATCGACACCTGTAGCAACAAAGAAATCAAGCAACATATCCTAAAGTCTTTTTTACAATTAAATACGTCCGGGGTAAACACAAAGTGTAATTTAACCTAGACCAGGCGCCCAAGACTAAGAAATAGTTTCTCACTGAATATAACCAGAGCACCCACCGAAAAACTGAAGACAAAATACGATAAAAATTTACAATGAATTTATTGAACAATTTCTTTGTTATTTACAAGCGGTTTGCTCATGTAGTGAATATCCAGTTTCAACTAGTTGAAAGTTTTTGTGAAAAATCGCACAACCAAACAGACACTATGGATAAAAAGCGTTGATTTTTTAAAAACTGTTTACAACAGTTCGCCAATAGATCTGATGTATTTATACGATTCGAAATACGAAAGTTTATAAAACGAATGAATAATGTGTGCTGAAGTTCTTGAATTTTTATGATATTTTGATCATGAAATGAGATTTCCAACTTTTTGCATAATACTTACATTTTGCCACATTTGACTGAAATGATATCAGGGTGATCATGAGTTAAATTATGTGTAGGCTGGCATATACCTCAAGTCCGTATCATTTGAATGACCAAATCCACTGAGCCTAAATATTTGGGGACTGACCACAACTTCATTTCATCACTATGATTATCAAGGGAACACATCGGTTATTCATAGACTACTGGCTTGAACTCTGCTGAAATTCAGCCTGTTATTTCACTTTTAATAACCATTACATTAAGCCAGTTTATTAGAGTAGTCTTGCTGTGTAGAGCGTGATCGAAAATATTCACATTTCAATAATATTAATGATCCAGAAGTGAAATCCCTACTATCCGGTTAAGCAGTCTATGACGAACACCACAACAAATCACATTACATGCAGAGAACATGTTACTCAAATTCACTCAGTAATGTTAGCAAAATAATTCTTAAAGGTGTAAGTGTTTACAATAACATTCACTATTATAATGAAAAGTGGTTTTCTGAAGTAGTATTCCATTGCACTTTGACACTTTTCAGAGAATTATTCTCAGAATTCAGGCGTTATCGGATTTATCAAGTGACTGGGAATTATTAATACAAGTAAGGTCATTTATCACACCAAACAGTATGATATAAAAGACGTTAAATTCACTCAAAAAGCTTATTGACTTTTGTCAAATGTATCGAGAAAAGCTGTATCCAGTCCAAGAATTACTGAGAGAAAATTTCGACAAATGGTTGCTGGAAAACTTGAGTTCTTGGATAATTCAAGTGGTCGAAGTAGAAAGAACTAGAAGACAACAAAGGTTTACTATTCGGAGCGGAGTGGATCCTACTTTAGATCGGTGTAAGTATAATATTTTTATCGAATGCTTGCGTTTCAACAATAATACTACAAAAGTTGAAGGCACTTAATAATAATAGGCGGAAGTGAAGTAGAAATACGGATGACTCCCACAAAGTGAACCAATAGTTTGGACTTTAGTTTACAGTTTCACAACTCATTAATTTCGCTTATGCAGTTTGTGCTTACCCTTTCACACAATGTAGCAAAAATGTCACAAGTAAACATTATACATCACCACTAATGATATCAAGAAGGTGAAATTCTCTGAAGATAATATTCTAAATTAGGTATAAACACGGTGGTTCTTTTCCAGTTAAGCAGTCGTTAAAAATGCACACTTATTACTTCTGTAATGGACCGGGCTATCGAGGCAAATGAAATGCATACCAAGGATGTTCAAAACCTTATTTACGTGACAGTTTTGTATACATAAGCATGTACACTTCAGCGTTTATAAGCCTAGTCCTTATTGAGAATATTTTCAGTAAGTTAACAAGATAAAAATGAATCGGACAAGCCAAGAGATCGAACTGGGGATCAGATATTTTTTAAACAATCTAACATCACTGTGAATATGTTCATATTGTCAACAGAGCTATTGCTTTTGTACATTAGTTTAGTTACAATTTAACCTCTTATACTGCAGAAACACAACATAAACCGACATTAATGGATTAACAATAACAGTAACGATGCCTTTTATTTCGTCTACAGGGAATGAAACATACACGTGTCTGCCAGATTTGTTATCACATATGGCGGAAGGTCAAATGACGGAACTTCGCGCAAATATACGAACATGTGGACTAATTTACTTTCCCATGGTACGTTTCTCTTGAGTGTGAGAACTAAAATTCCTAATAATCATGAACTTGCATAATTTCGTTTTCTACAGGTCGGTTATTTGTTGAAAATTCCGAAAGTCGAAGTGGAAACACCTGACATACATATAAGCTGTTTGGAATTCGCAGTAAGTTATTGACTTCCATGCACACTGATGTTTTTTCTCATTCAATGCATTATCATTATAACTATTAGTGATCTCATTGAAATTCTACTCCAGTTTATAGTCCTTCTCTCTAATGTTACTAACATACAAGGCGAAAACTTTCTTATGATTACTATGTTAGGTTGTTTCAGTAATTCGTCTAGTCAAGTGCTGTCATGATACATCCCGACTTAAGGAGTCAAACGACGCCATAGGGGTATGAAACCATGCTGCGTGGATGTAAGTATCTACTCTGGTAAAACACGATGCGACCTACTACTTCAGATTAGATTGGTGACTTTTTTGTTGTGTCTGACTGATTGATCGAGCTTCAGCATACAAAATGGCACAGAAGTGCAACAGTTCAAGTTATAATAATAATAATAACAGCTTTATTCCAAACGGTACTTGTGGTACAGGTATGGAATTTTCAGCGTGCATTACAGTATATTGCATCTAATTACCTCATAAATTATATAAGATTTTTAAAAATCATAAATAAATAAAAATAAAACAAACAAGTTATAAATAAATAAAATAAATAAAAATTAAAAATTAAGAAAAAACAGCGTAGAGTACTTCATTTCAAACAATGCACCACAGGATTTGAAATATAAAGTTGATGTGTGGTAGTAGATGAGAACAACAGTGTAGTAGTAACGAGGAAAGGAAAACAAAAACTAATGAAACTATTTGTTAGAGTGCTGCAGTAAGTTGATCGTGTCATACCTAACGGATTTCTCATCACTTAACAGCTGTGCCAGATATGGTATTGTGGAGTTTTTGTATTTGGTAGTCCTAGCATAAAGCCGCCTATAGCTGCTTCTAGTTCTACCAGATGAAATGCAAGGAGATAGATGCGTATAGAGAGGATGCTCGGGGTCCGACAATATTGTATTCGCTAGTTTCTTACATGACATAATATGTCTATCTACAGTAGTGTTAAACAGTTGCTTTAACGATATCCCACTTGCCCTACTAACGGCTTTTAGTGCCCTTCTCAGCGAAGCAAAGTCTTTCTTAAGTAGTCCAGGAAAGACTAATGGGGAGCAGTAAAGGAGGATGGGTAGAATACAAGAATTTACAAATTGAGAAAGTAAAGATTGCTTTATACCAGACTGCCTAAATTTCCTAATGTAGAACGTTAAGCGAAATATCTTTCTAGTAACTAGCAAGATGTAGGAAGACCAGGAAAGATCGGTGGAAAAACTCAGCCCAAGGTACTTGACATTAGATGTATTTTCAACCTCTGTGCCGTCAATGATAGTGGGGCCATGTGAGCTAACTAGTTGCTGTAGGTCACATTTACATCTGAAAGTGAAATTGACTACCTGACATTTGGACGGATTAAGCTTAAGTCCGTTTGAAGAGGACCACTAACTAATTTCCGACAGAAAGCTACTTAATTTGGAACAATCTGACTGAGAGTTGACAGGCATAGAAACCGAGAGGTCATCGGCATACTTAACAAAAGTGGCTACATCAGAATGAGGCAAGTCATGTAAGAAAAACGAGAACAGGAAGGTAGAAAGAACAGCACCTTGAGGAACACCAGCTAAAGTAAGTGAGGTAGTGGAGGATTTTCCATTGTAGATGGTGTACTGGTTCCTTTCAGAAAAATAGGAATGCAACCACTTATTTGTCCAGTTACTACAACCCATACAAAAAACAATCACTATAATACGCGGAAATGTCAGTGTGGAGGACAAGAACATGAAGAAACATAACGGAGAGTAAATACATCTGCAGCATTGAGAACAATCATAAACCATATAACCAGTAGTCTCCAGTTCTTGACCCTTAGTGTCCCCCGGACTTCAACCAGGAGGTCTACAGATCCCTAAATAGCTCAAATCATCTGAAAAAGACTTGATGGGCTGATGCCACCGTTTAGTTTGACCATCCCTAACTCTTTTCCAACCTGAGTCCACCTCGGCTAACATTGCTCCTCGGGAAAAGCTACGGTTCTTCATGCGCAACATATGTCCTGGTCATCTCAGCCGATGTAGCTTTATATCTTCATTGACTGACTTACCATCTTTACCTAGCTTTCTGAGTATTACTCACCATTTCATACCACTTAACACGAGAGATAGAGCTCAAAACCTGTGGCCAAAGACAGCTAGCCTTTTCATACCTTCCGCTTTAAATGACCATGTCTCACAGCTGTTGAGGAGGACGGAGAGAAATTCTGCGCAGTATGCATGTTCTTACACTGATCCATGTGTCGTATGTATTGCATCCTATGAGCTTATATAATGATTTCCTCATTTGCTTCATCAATCAACTTTCAGGCAGTGGGACCGACTGTACCTACCTTAGTCTGGGCGACAAGATAATAAAAAAACATACATGTACCTCATAGCCTAGTATATACCTTTCAAATTACGAATACTATATAAAATGCCACGAGTTGCCCTCAAAATAAAACATAAGGGCAGCTTAATCTTCCTGAAGAATATCCCACCACTCTGAGCTAAACTTATACATGTTGGAATAAAACGGCATAGCCTGAATCTTGTAGACGACTAAATGTACAATTCAAAGAAGAAAAACCAATGTGCGTTGGTAGCACAGGGGTTAGGTTTCTCGTCGATCATTCACTTGGTCCGGAGTTCGATACTCTGCCAACGCACATCTGATATCTATGGTTGGCCTGCAAAATGTGGGCTACCGATATCACATGCTGAAAATTTCATACCTGTGCCAAAAATATGGTGTGGAATCAAGCTGTAATCAGAAAAAAAATTAAATTATTCAAATAAAAAGTGGATGTGTTTGAGAATTTTCACTCGTTTTTATAATTTCAGTTTACAGAGACGAAAATAGCATACTATCGGAACGATACTACACGAAGTAAGTGGTCACATCAAAAAGTAATTCGCACTTCACTTTGTTTCAGCCCTTGATCGGCGATACGGAGATGTGATGTACAGTATTGTTGGTAAGTATTTTACGATAGAGAACCTTCCTTTGAATAAATATTTTCATTTGACGGTAAAATTATGAGGGCAAGCCTGTATAAATTACATTAATATGACAAGACGAATAACAAGAAACTCTGTAAGGCTGCACAAAGAAGTACAAAAGACAAATAAATGTGCTTCGATGGGAGATAAAAAGGGAACAAAGAAAGATTTTCAGAGTCTGGTTAACAAAGAGTGAATAGATCTGCTGTACTGAAGATGAACATGAGTCTATTCATAGCCTTTCGAAAACACTTCGTAGACAATTGAAAACAGTCGGTATGACTCAAACTAACAGTCAATGAGTCCGCTAATTTATACCATGTTTTGCTCTAGTCCTGTTTTATCTAATATACCACCTCTAGGAAACGGTGTGACATTCCCCAAATTAGTACAAGCACTGATCACTAGAAATTTTTTCTTTGCTTATATCAGGCTACAGTGGCCATGTCTCACAACCGTGAATTAATCTCGGACAAACTGCAGTATGGTAGATACAGCCTCTGATAGGTATTCGGATATCATACTTACGCTAGAGATGGGATCTCGATATCGGTCGTCTAACTTTAATTGAGGTTGTAAAGGCTTTCTCTGACATTAAACTAGGCAGAGCAGCAGGACATGATGAAGTGATTCCAGAAGTGTCAAATGACGCTAGTAATGAACTGCTGTCTGGGTTAACTAAGATGGTTCCGTTAAAATGACTATACCAGTTTATAAGAAGGAAGACAAGTCTTCCCGTGATAATCATAGGCAGATAAGCTTGAAAAATGTAGTATATAATGTCCTGGGCTAAATAGTCACATGGAGGGCAAGTGGTGGACGGGAGAGACAAAACCGCAAAAGCCATGCAGCCTTTAAGCCAGGAAGAGGGTGCAGGTACCGCGGAACAGAAGAATACTTACTGGCTTCCAACACTTGGCAATATCTAACTACCTTGATCGAGAGGTGGTATGCCAATGCCTGAACATAAAATGAGTGTCGGGTAAGTATGTCGAACTAATTAAGGCACTCTATTTGAATTCAAGCAATCCTGTGAAATTATGGAATTGTCATCTGAAGTGACAGCCAGTGGTGTCCGTCAGGGATACCTACTGTCCCAATTGTGTTTTATTTCATCATAGACGCCCTAATGCAATTGACTCTGACTTTAGCGACTTAGTGACCGACTTGTTACCAGAGGATAGCCTTAACGACTTGGAATATGCGGATGTTATGGTCCTCCAAGATGAAAAACGCTGACAAAGATGCAGTTTCCCGAACTCCCTGAACAGAAGACATCGGATGTGTGACAGGCAGTCCTCCCCTGTCAAATTTTAGATGGTGCTGCAAGACTAGTATGCACCGACTCCTAGCCTAAAGATTGGGAGTGAAGTGGTGGAGTGTATTGACCGCTTACTTCACTCCGGGAGTTGCATCAACCGCAGTGAACTAATTGTTCCCATGATTACAAAAAGCTCATGTGGCTTTTGCCAACCTGCGTCGTCTTTGGCGTACAGGTGACACCCAACTATCGATCAAGAGAAGTTTGCACTGCGTAGTAGTTCACCTTGTAATGAGATAGCTAGTAGTCTTTGACCAGGGAATTTTGCGTTTTATCACCCGTGTTAAATACTATGCTATGTTGAGCAATACTGAGGTTACGCGTTGGTTGCCAGGTATCGGAGAAGACCCAATCGATGAGACTGTGAAGCGGCTTGCCCGAGTCACTGGGCTACTAAAAATTCTATCCATCGATTGAGACGACTAGGAAACGAGTTGCACATGCCACCAACGTTCCATTGACAGAAACCGTATGTTTCCTTTGTGACTACATTAAATCCAATAACATGCTGAACCATCACATTTCCTGTCGAGCAATGCTAGCAGACATATGCCTAAGCTGGAAAAGTGTGTAAGTGGTTAAACCAAACCCCATCATCAATTCATGTTGCCTTTGACTGTTTGTTTATGTCACGTAGGCAGATATAGACTAACTAACTGCGCACTTAGGGAGGCTAAGACACAAGTGCTTGATACTGTTGATGATATGACTCGTAATTGTTACCAATGTTACAGTTGCATTCATTCTTCGTAATCTTCCAGATCTATGAAAATCCTTACTTCTTCCGAGTTAATACCTAATTTCGATAAAAGCAAAAATAAGCATGAGGGCACTGACTATTCTCACAATGCTCAACGTTGGAAAGTCTGCTCAGGTTACAAAAGAATTGGAAAGATATGCCAACAAATTGCTCGGAATCTGAGCGAGAGAGAGTGCAGAGGACTCTCTCACGACACATGACATCGAAGACCTACAGGCGAAAACGAAGATGGCCGAAAAGGCTGGCAGAGAAGACAGGACTTCAAGTGAATACAGAGAAGACTGAGGTGATGAAGATACCTTGCTGACCAATAACAATCACTATCGACAGGAGAAATTCAATTGAATTCACCTCCTTCACTTATCTAGGCAGCTTCCTCAATTCAACTACAGGTAGTGGCATGGATGTTGATGTCAAAGTCAGACAAAATTGGATAAGGCATTCACCACTTTGGAGATCTTCTATCGTCAGCATAAGGGACAGAATTCGGATTTTCAACACCAATGTTAAGTCATTTCATCTATATTATTCAGGGACTTGCAGCACAATGAGAAGCACTTCCAACAGGCTACTGCTTCATAATCCACAGGCAACTCTGGGAATGAACTGGCCAGGAACCTTTTATACAACAAATGCGTCAAAATAAATACAATGGACATATGCTACGAAGACCGTTGAGTGACATCGCGCGCCAGTCCCTCGGATGGAACGGAAAGCTGAAGCCCCACGATGACATGTAGGAGATCGTGTGAAAAGATAGGAACTTGTGGGCAATCGTGTTGCCAGTTGAAGCGGACAGTAGAGGATAAAACAAAACGAAGGTGTGTTACTGACACCCTATGTTCTACTTGGAACCCTGGGAATAGTAATATCTTGCTTGCTGTACATTTCTGCCTATTCTAGTTCTTTAGAACTGATGATTTTTCTCCACCTTTGCGTGGAAAACGAATTGTAGCGATTTGGGCTTCAGCATGTTTTTGTCACGTTCTACCTTGAAACTCAGACAGTCAGAGATGACGCTAGTTGGCAATTTCTGAACAACTCCATATTTGATATGGCACAGTGAAACACCGTCAATAACTGTACGCCGTTTGGAGCAGTAACTCGGGGTCGGTTATGTTACCGGAGAATATGAATTTTAACTGGATCTAAAATAACTAACCCCTATAAGTTCCGCTGTTGAAATGCATACACTTCATGTAATCACACAATAGGATAGGCTAGGGTATGAGAACTAAGACGTAATATTATATTACTACAAAGAGAGGTAAATCATCGAATCTTTGGAATCAAACTGACATAATACCTGCCACTAATATGAAACAAGTAGGCAGTCATATAAATAAATTGGCATGATCATGAGTGATAACCTATGCTTGAAACGCTATCCAGTTACTGACCCTGTATCACTGTGTTATATCGAATACACTTATCTAAAATGGAATTACCAATCCCCTATCCTGTGCTAGAGTGTTTATTCCGAAAATATCAAAACCAAACGGAACAGTAAAAGAATGTGTCCAGTGTCGAACTCCGACAAGTATGCCGTATTCTGAACCCCTGGAAGGGTGATTTTTTTATCAAAGCAGACCCATCCATGCTTTACTTTCTCATATTCGTTTTTTACCTGCATCCCATCCATCAGAACTATAGAGCCTGTGATTCTATAAGACAGATCGATCTAGCTGATACCTGCTGTAGTTACTAAGCAAATATTTGTTCCCTTATTAACTGGTTGGACTGAGACTATTCCGTAAAACTCACTAGGAAGTTCAAAAAACAACACATTAAAATTAAACATAGTAGTGAAACTATTGGCCATATCATAAATAAGAGATATAAGGATTTCTAATAAAGCAGGAATTAGGACTGCATTTAAACCTGTAAACTCACTCAAGCTCTTTGGGCTAAAGAACCCTAGTGAGCCAAACAGACTGTGAGATCAGCTGCACAGATCAGAGTCAATCAGATTGTCGAAACATACGAATTTAATGAAGTGTAGAATGACTGACCGTTTAATATTATTATAAGCAAAAAATGTGTTCGAAACGTCATCAGTAAACACAAAAACCTACACCACTGTTTTCACTCGATAAATCACTACACGATGGAATTGCACTTTACCACAGCACCTAAACTTTATTCTTTTATCAACAGTTTGAAATGAGTTCTTCAGTTTCTCAACATCAAAACGGCTTCAGGTAGCTGAAACTAAAACACTTACTGTTGCCGCACTCTAACTGTAAGTTTCATGTCTAAGCCATTATCCTTTATCAGGAATGATTATAATTCGGTATGCACTGAATGCCCCAGCTATTTCGGTCTGTGTTGATTCATAGAATCACCAACGCTCATCTCTAGAGATCAAGGAAAGGAGCTACGCCTATTGTAAGCTGGTCAAGTACTGAAATCCACATAGCATGATTCAATTAAGAAAAAAACACACACGTGTTTTGCATCGAACGATGTGACCGTGATTTATTCATGCTGGACACCGATACGTGCTGAATGGAAAACAGTAATTATGTGTAAGTAGTCACCTTAGCCTTCACCCCTATCTACAAGGCAAAGCGACTCTCTGCATTAACATCTGTGAGCACAATCACATAGAAACATTCACAACAGCTATCAAGCAGTACACGCTGACTTACTTGACTTGATTACGACACAACAGAGCTTTTAGCATTACATTTTGCGAATAGTAGCATAAAAATCCCCATTAAGTCACATAAAAGAAGAGGTATTCAGAGAAGAATTACTCTATTCAGAGATATCATTCTCAAGCTGTACAATCGCATACATACAGTACACTATCATAGCAACAAAAGGAATCTCTTCAACAATATATCACTAAAATCATAAGTTGTTGACAACAATTACGTTATGCAGAAAGCGATCGGCTACAAACTGAAATTAAATTAAATAAGTGAATTGAGTGACGCAACATATGTGATGAAAGGATTCAATAGAGGTCGACTAGAATTGCAGGGTGGTCAAGTTAAGAACATTGTCATCAGCAGTGGAATTGTAGTACCATGAAGGGTTAGAAATAACAACATAAAAAGGTTAGAATTTACAAAGCTTAACGTGCTAAGTGTTGACACAAATTAAGCTCATTGTAGGTTCGGTGACTGGGCAAACTCCTTCCGCATACATAGTTCACGATTTAATATTTGGATTGCACACAAAGGTTTCTTCAGTCACTGGACCTACAATGGGTTTGATTTGTCACAACACTTAGTACTTAAGTTTCATCCTTCCCACAACTACAATTCTACTCCTCACTACACTGATCTTAACTTGACCCCTTTCAAATTTTGTTGAGCTTTCTCTAGGGACCATAATTTGCAAAAACTAGAAAGGGATACCCAAGATGTGTGACTAAGTGAGACTTACTTCAAGCATTTTAATCCCCGTGGGATCTGACTTTCAGGTCACTTAGAATCACATAAGTTATAAGCAAAACCGATGGGAATTTCGTAATATGTGTGCGTGACGACACTTAAGCTTGTTGCTTCTGACGTATCTCACTGATGGAGGACGCTTCAAGCAATTTTAGTGAAGCTCACAGGATGTTGTAGTGAAAATGTCTGCGTTATTTATTTTCACTATATCGTTCCTAGTAACACTTCGTCTACTCCCGCCTTATTCACTTATATACTTATCTATTTGATTACAACTTGGAATATGATACTTCAACGGCATTTTTACCACTCTGTCGTTGCTGCTTAGATAAAAAAATAACTATATAATCTGTGTGAAAATCCATACTGTTTTGATTAACCAATTCTTTTGTCTGTGCCAAAAAAAATTTAATTTAATTCAGCAGTCAGGGACAACAAATAAAGTTGGCACTGAAATGCGAACAATACGAACAACACTGCAGTATGTTGTTGCAAGATGGTAGTTCGTATTTCCAACACTTACAGTATGATGATAACCATGCAAGCCAGATGAAAATGTATAACAGTGCAACCAAACAAAGTGAGATATGTACATAAACGTGATTTGGTGGCTCAGGCCCCTGGTTTACATTACACTTTCTCTCTAAAGTACCTATCTATCTCCCACATCAAATGCCGTTTAAGGTAAAGTGGTACAAGATTCCACTAGAGCAATAAATCTCCACCTTCTCTATATATGTACCAGGAAATAGGATACTACTAGTTGTAAGTAGTCCACTAAAATTTCCTGAGTACAGAGGTGTAACAAGGGAATTTTCCAATCCGCAATCTATTTTTTGATACTGCAGTGACTAAGCCATTAAACCACACTTGCAGCGGATATAAAAAGACCGGCAACATGTAACACAATGCGGCACATAAAAAGGTTAAGGGCCTACGACAACTGATCACCTTTACCACTTTGAGCCGTCTTCTCAGCCACCTGAAAAATAAGTTTACGAGGCGATTAATTAGAAAATCATACTTAATAATTAATAAAAAATTAGTTTAACACTGTATTATATCTATATCTACTTTGACTAAATATATTTGGTTTTCGTTTCACATATAAAAATTTTAGATACGGAGACCACAATTATGCGTCAGTTGCAGCGTCGCTTACTAATTCACGCACAAAGCTTACTTCGCGCATCACAATTTGCTGCAGAAATAGATTGGTAAGTTCAATTTTTCTACCTTTTATCCACTCTGACAACTTTCCGAAACCAAATGACGCCAAGCAGATTCATAAAGTAGTAATTTGACAGAATGTGTCGAACTAACCATAACACACTGATACGGACATGTGGCTATACTTAAAATGCCATGACTGGTCATCATTAATAAACAAGAGGTTTTACATTTCCAGTAAGTTAAAGTGAGGCAGACACGGAATGCTAAAGCAGTGGGTGCAACTAACTTCAGCTATTCATAATCTCGAATTAAGATAAACATTTACAAATCGTAAGGTATTTTGCTGATGAGCTGACAGAACAATTTATTCAACGTAATCATAAAAATCTCCCAATTACAAGACATACAAACCATCGTTTACGTATGCAAAAGACTGGGATAGTGAAACTCCATAAGTCACTTTACTTAAGTCATTTACCAATAGAAAATACAGTATCATAGCCACTACTTTCCTGAGTCGGGCTACATTTCAGCGGTTGACATATCATGAGTGACCGACAGTACTCATTGTGTAGCTCAAGATTCATGTGACTAGAATGATTAATCAACAATCTACAGGCGCTTGAGGTGGGCACAGATATGCACTACATCCAACAGCCAAAATGAGAAGTTAACCAACTTAGAATCCTTATTGCGTCACCAACCTAGCAACCATGGACATGGTAGCCAGCTGTTAGTTGTTTTTTTCCAACACATAAATCCAGATCAATCGTATATAGGGCAGATTTAATAAGCGTGAATATATTTTGTACTACAGTCGCAAAAATGAGCAATACAAATACCGCAATTATGCCTTTGTTTCAGTCTATGCTCACTTGCGATAGCTGCTAAGTCTAAGGACTGGAAAAAACCGAAGTTAGCAGAAAACGATTTAATACGCATCCGTTCTGGGCGTCACCCAATACAAAAAACGCGATGCAAAAGCATTATCAAGAATTTATTCTACGCAGATGCTTCGAATCACAGAATCACTTTCCTTACTGGACCAAATGGTAGTGGAAAAAGCACATACATGAATCAGGTAAGACTAACTTTTGCATTAATCAAACAGACTAAGGAAGTGATGAATATAATCTATATATCAACGTAATGCTTCTCACACAAGTGGTTAACACCAAAGGCGGTATTAGCTTATAAGATAGACAAGAACGTTTACGATGCTATCAATGAAGACGACTACTTTGTTCAGAACTCATCACTTCGGAGAAAAAATTTCTAGTCACTTTCACTTGGAGGGAACAGAGATACAGAATACACAGACTCACGTAAGACTCCCCGAAGTGTAGTCAACAAAGTAGCCTCATCAAAATGGTTTTAGAGACCATATCAATTCCCAGCTGGGAAGAACAATCTGCACCTTAATACACACGTCAGGACAGTAGTAAAAGTCTTCTTCGTGACAACTGTATTTGTAGAAAATGAAAACAAGATATCCTGAGAGGAACTTTATCAACGAATTTGCTACAATTTGATCGTACAATCTCATATATATATATATATATATATATATATATATATATATATATATATATATATATTATTATTGTATCCTTTAGTTCCTAGAGGAACATAGGGCTTCAGCTGCGCACCTCCATTGACTTCGGTTTTCTGACAACTTTTTCACCCTGCTCCAGGTCTGTCCACATGCTTTCATCTCCTCCTCGCATGACCTCCTCCAAGTCACCCTGGGACGACCAACTCGCCGCCCCCCTTTCGGGTTCCACTCGAGGGCTTGTCTAGTGATGTCACTTGATGGTTTCCTCAGCGTATGGCCAATCCATCTCCATTTCTTTCTGCCTATTTGTTTCACAATCGGTTCCTGATTGGTTCGCTCCCAGAGATCCCTGTTGCTGATCTTTTCTGGCCATCTGATCTTGAGTATTGAGCGGAGACAGTTGTTAATGAAGGTTTGAAGTTTGTTTGAGATGCTCTTTATGACTCGCCAAGTCTCTGATCCGTATAGTAGCACTGACTTCACATTGGAGTTGAAAATCCGGATCTTATTTTTGATGCTGAATGCTGTTGACCTCCACACAGATTTGAGAGTAATGAAAGCTTGTCTTGCTTTTCCGATTCTGGCTTTGATGTCCTCGTCAGTTCCGCCTGTAGTTGAGACGATGCTTCCCAGGTAGGTGAAGGAGGTTGTTTCTTTCAGGTTCTTCCCATTTATGCTTATTGTGGTCTGTTGGTGTTGTTGATGTTGGCTAGGAATCTTCATCATCTCTGTTTTATCTATGTTCACGTGAAGTCCTATCTTTGATGCTTCTTCTGCCAACTTGTTACTTTTCACTTGCATATCTTCCAGTTTATGGGAAATCAGACATATATCATCGGCGAAATCCAGATCCTCCAAGTTTTTTGTGTCAGTCCATTTTATGCCTGTTCCCTCGTTGGTTGCCGTTGTCTGTCGCATTATCCAATCAATTGCAGTCAGGAAGATCATTGGTGATAGTAGACAGCCTTGCCTCACTATATATATATAACTCACAGAAGGCAATAGGATATGACGAATTCAGCATCGCTACCTTAAGTATGCTGTGGTGTGTGAGTAAATTTGAACACGTCAGACTGTAAAAAAGGAGATGAAAAGAAGTTTTGACAGGGATCCATAAAGTTGCTATTAATACAAGCTTAAGATAAGAGAGGCAAACAGACAAGCTCCAGAGTGAATTACACGACCTCACTGCATTTCAATTACGGTCCCTTACTCAACTTAGTTCCGCCGAATATATTATATTACCGACTTCAATATTCGTGTTTCAGTCCTTAACTTAATTTGACTATTTGGACTTACTTACTTACTGAAACTAGGCCCTGCTCATCGAATAGGATTGTATTAACATTAACAAATCTAGGCTCTGATAACTGTTTACGAAACATTTCTGCATGCTACAGTTTATTATTTCGTTCTCTTGTAGATCGCCTTAATAATATACCTCACACAAATAGGAAGTTATGTACCAGCTGAGGAGGCAGTTATTTCACCACTTGACGCAATATACATACTCACAGGTACAGGTTCCGAGAAGGAAGATGATTATTCAGCGTACATATCGGCTCTTCACTCAGTGTCCGTTGCTTTAAGAACACCAACAAAGAGAACACTCCTGGTGATGGATGAGTTCGCTAGTGTAATTGACAAGGTATTCTGCGTGATTAGTATCTTGCTTAATTACTTTTAAACCGTGTTTTAGTGGGAACTTAATGCACTTACAACAGCCATGGTTGAATTCCTCCTAAACCTTGGAGAATGTCCGTTTGCTGTCATAGCCACCCACAACTATGGAATTTTGAAACACTTCCAAGTGTCTGGACCACGAGTACAATACTTGGTAAGTCGCTACGATTAAATAAAACTGACTTCTCACCACATTAAGACAATGAAGACGACAACTCATGAAGGGAAATTGCTATGTCTGTACGAAGTTACTAACGGCATAACCTCAGAAAGTGAAGCAATTGCAATAGCCAAGAATATTGGACTTCCACTAGGAGTAATAGAAAGAGCACTGGAACTGAGGAATTCTCCAGGTGTAATGAATGTCAAATTTGTGCAACCCAGAATTAAAAAGTAAGTTTTCACAAATAAGCTTAATTTTTCAGAGTGAAAAAAGCGATGAAGATACTGCGAATAAATATTGCCAATAATAATACCACGCTACTGGAGAATATGCAAAATTTATTTTGCCGTCATCGTCATCGTCGAAGGCTTAAACTGAAGAATGATAGTCGGTCATCTCATTAATGAAAATAACTAATAATAGTACGGTCTTTTTGGCTTATAACCCGATTACTTTATTCATTCAGTGCTTGTTTACAGCAAAGTTTTCGAAAACCCGAATGGGTTATTGCAATTAGTTATACTGGCAACACATCATAAAAAAATAAGTCTCAAAATAATTATAATAATAACAATAATAATGATCAGGGAGGCATATTGTACAGGGGTGATAAGTTATTTCAAATGTGAAATGAAAGAATAAAAGGATGTTCTAAGGCTTTTGAACAGGTAATTCGTTCAGTCGGAATGTACATAAGCATTTCTTTAACAAGATCAAAAGCTAGGCGTTTGTAACGATCGAAACTAGAAAACCGGTATTCTCCCAAAGGCTTTAATGCTCTCCTGACATAACGAGACTCAGATGAAGTGGGTGACCAATCTAACCGACCATGGCGGAAATATCTTCGTCGACGAGATGCTTTTGTCATACACTTAGGAAGCGTTCCTAGCACACGTTCCATCATAGCTAGGTGTTCCAGATTATCATGTGTCATAAAAAGGCACCGTCCCGTTACAAGTTCAAACAGAATACATCCTACAGACCACACGTCGGCCGACCGACTCCAGCCAAGCTCCATCACGACTTCAGGTGCACGATAATGCCAAGTTTGAATAGTGGTTGAGTGGTGGTCATTGTCGAAGGTAGCTGACCCGAAATAATAATAATTTTGCTTTTATTCCAGAAACAGTACTAGAGGTGCAGTGTGGAATTTTCAGCACATATCTACAGTATTGCGTCTAATTTCATCGCACATTTAGAAGGAGTATTACAAAAAAAATGTAAAAAACAAACAACAAAAACCAAAAAGAAACACAAAAATAACAAAATATGCAAATAAAAATACCAAGTAGAAAGGAAGATAGACACCAATTATGAAAAATATTTCAGTATTTGGTAGTGGAAGCTATGATATGTGTATGCGTGGTGAACAGTAACAGCTATAATCATACAAGATAAGATAAGCTTTATTCCAAATCAGTACTTGTGATACAGAATGGAATTCTCAATATTTTACTACAATATTGCATCCAGTTAGTACATTAACAATAAATATAGTTCTACATAGATTAAGGTTATCTCAGTCAGTTTTGACAACAACATATTAGCATGTCGGTAGCAAAGCCAAAATTTAAACAGTGTTTGAAGGTGTTAGAAAAGTAGATACTACTAGCATATTTACTGGCGTAAGCGATAGCAAAATGGTCGAGATATACAGAGTGTGAAAGAACGAACAAGAATGTTTTAAGTAGAGTTTGCAAGGAAGAGAGAAACAAAACAACACATAAAAAAAGGTAGAGAGAAAACGTTGTACCTGTAAATGATGTGAGTTGGAAAGACGAGATCCATTGTTCTACTGACTATTTAATAAGTTAAAGGTTTCACGCCTAATGCTTTCTTTATCGCACAGAACACGAGCTAGGTAGGGTATGGATGAGTTTTTGTACTTACTAGTGCGGGCATATAGTTTCCTATATAGGCTTCTGGTTTTCCCTGAAGAGATACATGGGGAGAGTTGTGAATGTAGAGGGTGTTGTGAGTCAGATAAAATGGATTTCGCCCATTTTTCACATGAGTCCATGTGCCTGTCCACCAGAATATTAACAAGCTGGCTAAGTGGCAAACTGCTTACCCTGCTGACAACCTTTAACATCCTACGTAATAAGGTATAGTCTTTCCTGGGCTATTCTTATTCTCTATATAGAGAATAAGAGGCAGAATACGGAGTTAACAAATTGTAGGAGTAAGGGTTGGGTTACACCAGAATGTCTTAACTTCTTGATGTAGAAGGTAAGACGGAATATTTTCTTGGAAATCGTCAAGATATGAGACGACCAGGAAAGATCAGAAGATAGAGTGACGCCTAGGTATTTAATTTCCGACTTGGTTTCAATTTCAGTGCCATCTATGTTGCACACCTCGTGAGTGCTAACCAGTTTGTTTAGGTCAGATTTATGCCTAAAGGTGAAATTAACTGTTTGGCATTTGGAGGGGTTTAAGGTGAGACCGTTTTCCTTGGACCATTGGCTAATTTCTGATAAGAAGCCATTTAGTTTAGAGCAGTCACTTTGACATTTGACAGGTAAAGATACAGTTAGGTCATCAGCATATTTGACAAAGTTAATGTCATTTGAAGACGGTAGGTCATGTAGGAAGAATGAAAAGAGAAGTGGGGAGAGTACAGCACCTTGGGGGACACCAGCTTCAGTGAGCACAGCAGAGGAGGATTCCCCTTTGTATACGGTGTACTGCATTCTGTTTGAAAAGTAGGAATGCAACCAGTTAGTGACCCAGGACTCGGTTTGTGTCATGGAGAGCTTATTTAGCAAGAGACTTCTAGGTACAGAGTCGAAAGCAGAAGTGAAGTCAAGAAACGTGCAGCGGACATATTTGGCACCTTTGTCTAATGATGAGACAATACTGTTGTGTAAGACGGCTGCAGCGTCTAAAGTACTCCTACCCTGTCTGTAGGCAAATTGTTTGGGGTCTTCGAAGCTTTTAAGGGAGGGTTCGAGTTTAAGAAGTACTAGTTTTTCCATGAGCTTTAGAAACGGGGAAGTGATGGCAATGGGTCTGAACTTTACGTTCTTGCTATTTCCAGGTTTAGGGACAGGGACTATTTTAATGTCTTTCCATGGAACAGGTACAACGTTTTCGGAGAAAGAAGCATTTAGGATATTAGTTAGAGGAGACATAAAGCATCTGCACATTGTTTTAGAACATATGCAGGTATGCCATCAGGGCCAAGACTATGTGAGGGCTTAAGAGTTTTAAGACATTTCAAAACATCGAGAGTATTGAAGTCCTGGAAGTTATCAGCTACAAGATTAGTAACGTTAGAAGTGGTTATAGTAGAAGGAGAGCGTATAAAAGACAGATTAAGAGCATTAACATCACAAGAGGGAAAAACATTACATCGCTTACTATTGCCAGTAATTTCATTGAAAAGTTTCCACATGCTGTTAGGAGATTTGCATGATAAAAGTGTTTGGTTATAGATAGCATTAAGATTTTTGATTTCAGATTTGATTTGAGCATTAATCTTTTTAAGTCCTAACTTGTCTTTGCATTTATATAACATTTCTTTTTGCCTGCGAAGTTGTTTGAGATGGGGAGACGAGAAGCGGTCGAGGCGTTTGAACAGTGTTTGTTTGGGACAGCATATGTCGAGGCAGAACTTAAGATAATCCATTATATTGGTGATTGAGTCATCTAATGTACTTTCATAGAATAGATCCCAGTTGGTATCTTTTAACATGCATCTTAGATTGAGTAAGTTGTCAGATGTGTAGCTTCTTTGTTGTGCTTCGTAGACAGGTGTGAGAAGATTTTAATATGTGTTTTGCTGTATATTTTTGGCAAAACGCGGACAATGCAGTGATCGGAGTTATGTATCGGTGAACGTCTACGTGTTTCATATACTCCTTCGTCATTAGTAAAAACTAGATCGAGTGTTTTGTCAAGTCGAGTGGGAAATTTGACTATGTTTGTGTGACCAAGAGCTTCAAGAAAGGAGCAATCTGAGGTGTTGAAGTCTCCAGTAATAACGGATAGAGAGTTGTCGAAGTTGGCAGCAGCAAACATGGTGAATTCATCAGCAAAATTAGATAGATCAGATGGAGAGCAACTAGGAGAAATGTACATGTTTGTAATATAGATTGTTTATATTTGGGGAGATGTTTGGGGCGACATTTGACAGTAATACAGTCAATGAAGTCATTTGAGAAGGTGAAGCAGACGTTATTTGAGACAGACCATTTGGAGTGAATAAAAGTTGCAACGCCACCACCATTTTTCTTATTACAACATTGACGGTCTTGACGAAATAAAATAAAGTCCTTTAGTGAGATAAGGTTGTCATCATACAGTTCATGCAACCACGTTTCTTGTAATGTGATTATGGCGGTGTTATGATACGTATCAGTTGTGAGATGTTCTTAAGAATGTTTATAGCCAAGATGACCAGTGAATTTGATTGAACTACACTAAACAATCATAAAATAAACATTTCAGGGTTTTTTATTGTCAGCACTAATGCAGTGTTTGTTGTGTTAGTGTGAGTAATCATGCATAATACAAAAATTTTAGGATGGTGATAGTGGCGTTCACAACCAAGATTGTCAGTTTTAATATTGCCGAACAAAAAAAACAATCACAAAAACTAATATTACATGAAGGTTATTGGCAGGATAATTTTGTAATACTCATAGTGCTAATATAGTCGGGAACAGTAGATACACGAAAGAAGGAATGGAATAAAGAATAAAAAGGTGAGCCAATGATAATAATTTCAGGTAGCTAAGTATGTTTAAGAAGGTTGTTCACTATAGAATACAAACTTTTATATGTGGATGACGTATTCTCCGAATAGTTTTGCCACGGTGATTATCAAATACTTCGTCGTAACTGTCATCGACAAACAAAACATTTTCAGGTTTGAGATCTGTGTGTGTAAGCTTATTTCGGCGCAAAAATGCAACAGCTTTACAAATTTGTCGGGTAATTACTGCACATTGTTCAATAGGATAGGGCTCATAGCCATTTTCCTCAAGAAACGTGAAAACACTTGGACCAAGCAGAGGAAAACCAATATAAAAGTGATCATGCCATTCAAAAAAGTAGATAGATGATATGCAGTGAGACCGATTCTTCGCATCTAGTCTTGCAATGGATTTTAAGACTTCAAGCTCATGGCGAGCAGCATCACTGTAATCACTCTGAGGTTTCAGAGCCTTTACAGCCGTCAAGGAATTTGTGTATAAGTTAAAACATTAAAAAGCTTGTCCGTATCTACCCTCTCCTAGTATCTTATTCACACGAAAGCAGCATATCATAACATCTGCTGGACGACATGTGAAAGACTTAACTGAGCGTGTCACCATTAACTGAAGAAGGATCATTATATATTGACTTGCTACCGCTGATTTTCTTGAACAACTTCTACATATTTGATAAGATCTCGCATGATAACGACTTCTGGTCATAAATCATATTTAATCTCTGTATTTATGATTTAACTTAGTATAATTCAATCTTTTAA